AACAGAAACATAAAGAGCACCTGTAATGTCGGCGAGTTATTTTGATGGAACGGTCAATGTCCGATATTTAACTTTATTGCTAATATCGGTCGATACCGATGCATGCCGATAGTGCATCCCTACTTTACACATGAAAAAAAAGGACCATCCTAATCAATCATGCATAACAATCAAATGTTTTTTGCATGTGTAAAGCTAGTTTCTTATTCCATAGAGGGCTGGCTTTAAATACAATAGATGCATTCGGGCCTAAAAAATCAGACCCAGCCTGAACCGAAACCGAACAATTAACTGATTACAGGCCCGAACACAATAATTATTTTAAATTAAGCTTTTAACGCTTTTGTAAGCAAATAATTTTGACATGACTTTTAAAGATGTATTTCAAAGAAAGGAAGATATAAGATTTCTTGTTTATTAACAAGAGTCAGCGGATTATTATAGTTATTATATTATGATAACCGTTTGCGGATGCGCGCGGCTGATGATCCAATTTGAGTCGTCGGCTGCACGCGTCCTCTGACGCAGCGGCTGAGTCCAGTTGGGCTTGGATGGATCGCTGGCAGTATCTGAAGCGTAACTGAACTTTTTTTTTTTTTTTACTTCTTTCAATCAGCCAGTTGACGCGCGGTCAACTGGACACGCGCGGCTGGTGATCCAAATTGGATCATCATCCGCGCACGTCCGCTGAGGCAATTAATTATTATACATTATATATTTGTGAAACAGATCTGGGTTAGCAGGCCTCAGACTGATACCGCTTTCGGCTAAAAGACGAAATGTTTCTCCCAAAAAGAAACTGGTCCAGAGAACAATTTAACCTTTTTTGTTAGTTATTTGTAACTATTTATAATGCTACTTAGCTATATATGCTTTTATTAATCTTAATTTATCATGGGTACTTTTTCAATATGCTAAACTTAGCTTATAAAAATCTTAACATAGCTATAGCAAATTTTTTATAATGCTATGCATGTTTATGTTAGCTGTTGCTAACAAAACTCATGTAGGCACCCATCATGATTGTTTGAAATCTTATACTAAACTGACATTTAGTTTAAAAACATCTAATGCCGGTTTAATTAATGTCTGCCTGAGAAGGCAAAAGGCCGATATTTTATTAATTTTTTTGTCTGTCATGCTAGCAAAATATTTAATACATCACTGGATTTGAAACTTAAAAAAAAAAACTAAATCCAAGTCAGTTTTAGTTATTGAGCTAAATTTCAGTGTAGTTGTAGCGGAGTCATCTCCAACTTAAACTCGAGTGTTAAGTGATCTGTTTTTAAGAATTTACCATTAACTATCAAATTTGTCTTCGTAAAATATCATAAACCACAGGATAAATATGAATGGAACTCACAATAATCATTAAATGTACATCTATATCCTGCTTGCTCACAGGTAGGAAACATTTAGATATAGGAGTGGTCTTGGTTCAAGCCTTCAGATTTTATTTTTAAGTAAAACTTTGCTAATGTCTGCTTTTATGTGACCAGTTCTCATCAGAACTCAATTTCAAACAAGCAATCACTACCCCGCTTTTTAAAAACACGACAGGAGGGTTACACAAGCGGTCTGTGTTGTAACAAAGCCCTTAGCACTTTAGTACCGGTAATAAGGAGCAGCAGCCGAAGGTTGCGTGTGGCCGAAACTGATCAGCCGACTCCAATGCTGCATTTGAACCAAGAGCACGTCATCTCTCTCAGCCTGCAGTCCTTTTCCAACGAGCCAAACAACAGAGTAATGTTAGGACAAGACAGCAGTGGACGTTTAATCATATTTATTTACAAAAAACAAACAAAAAAAAAGGGTGAAAAAATAGCAAAGACCTTAAAAGTACGAGTTAAACAGAGGAAATGCCATTCTCATCATATGACACCATTTACATAGATCCAGCCTGCCGACATTGTTGAAATATATACCAAGACAAAGAGCCTGTATTCACTGTTTACTGAGCTAACAGGTGACGGGTGTTGAAGACTGCGTCCTGAAGCAGAAACCTGAGCACGTCTCGTTCTCCTTCACTTCCTGGACCGGCTCCGTCGCAGCGCTGCACCTCTGTATTTCACTAGAACTTGAACTCTTTGTATTTCTTGGCGCTGCCTCGTGTGTCCTGTGGCTGGGCCTTCCTCTTCTTTTGCTGTTCGGTAACAAAGAAACAGACAGAGTGGAAGTGGACAGCTATTAATATTTAATTAGCACCGCTACGAGGGGAAACACAAATAATTAATTTCCTGCTTTTCTTCAGCTTGTACGTTTTTGTTTTTTCCATTACAGGACAGATCGATTGTAACGTGGGGCCTCAAAAATTTATTTATCCAGGTTAGTCTCATTGAGCCACGAGAACTCATTTTGCAAGAGAGACCTGTTTTTTAGGGAGCACATGGTGGGGGTTAAGGGCCTTGCTCATGGGCCCAGAGTGGGGAAATAAACCTTTATTACTTTAAAATGGATCATCTCAATTGATTTGATTAATTCCTATATTTAAACAGAAAACTGAATGGCTTTTATAAAATGTTCAAGAAGCAAAACACTAGCTAAAAGCTAAAAAGGAGCAACACATTAGCTAAATGCTAAAAGGAGCAAAATATACCCATCCAGGTGATAAAATCAGGCGAGTACCTTCTGTTTGGCAGCGTGCTCGGCCACCATGTCACTGAAGTCCTCCTTCTCCACCTGGGCCTGCTGCTCTCTGACGTGCTCCTCGTACTTCTGCGTCATGGCCATCGGATCAAGCTCCAGCTCCTCGGGGGCCAGGGCCACCTCCACTCCCTGGGACTCCTGCCCCCCACCGGTCTTACGACTTACCATTGCCTGGAGAAAGGAGATAAAAGACCATATAAGGATACCAGAGGTGGATTCAAGATGAGTGAGTCGCAGAATCAGAAACTTATTGCCCCGTCTTACCCCCGACACGTCGTAGATGTGGGTCGAGCCCATCATGGCCCCTCCTATGGTGCCAGCTCGTCTCTCTGGCAGTACAGTGAAAAGTTGTGGCGTTTCGTTCCTAAGATAAACAAAGAACATGAATAAAAAAACAAGAATGTTTGCTTTTATATTATGATTTATATTTTTATGCAAATTTTTCTTTTTAGAGAAAAATCTCTTAACAGCTTCAACAAGGCTTCCCCTCGTGCACACAAAGACACCAGTACTTTTCTAACATGCATGTGCTCATTTTCTGACTACCGGCTACTTCGCGGTTCGACTTTTGCGGACTCGCTCCATCGCCGTTTTTCAAAGTAAGATTGAACACGAGAAAAAAAAAAAAAAAAAAAAACACAGGACACGATTGTTAACATTACTCACATGACTGAGACAGTACTGGATACTGTACAGTAAAAGTTAACAAAAAAAAAAATACTTTGGACAGGCGCCGCCATGGAGTAGTTTTCTCTCAATAAGCCTACACTGTATCACCACTCACAATGACTGCATTTCCCAGAAGCCAACAGTGCCCCGCCTAGAAGTCCTGTTTCCTTCTGCTGAAATACTAGAGGGCAAGTTTTGATCTGATCGGAAAAAGTTTGGTGCTTATTTCAGCAACTTCGGTGCCCAGCGGATGCTGCACGGAACGCACCAAACCGGAGCAGAACCGGAGCAAAACCGGACCTACAGACCCATCGGTGAATCTTGAGAGCTGGTAGCATGCCCACAAGGACTTCTGAGCGGGAACGCGCAACGCCGAAGGTCCGGAGCCCACCACCATTACCCAGAGGCAGAGAGCCGACCAGAACCAGAAGGGTAGATCTGCAGAAACCGAACCAAGTCCGAGTGGAACCGAGCCGCTCCTGTTGAGCCTGACAAGTAAAATTTAGTGGCTGCGTACATGCATGTTGTTAAAATTAGTAGACTGAAGAGTTTAGAACATTGATTGTGGGCATCGTTGCTGCAGGGTAGTTCTGCAGAAATGGAACAGAGTCGGACAAGAACTGAGAACCGCTCCTGTTCTGCAGAGCTGGTAGGTAAAATTTAGTAGCTACATATACAGCACTGTACGTATGTTGTTAAAATGACGTAGGTTTAAGAGTTTAGAACATTGCAAGCGTGTGGGAAGGGTTTTCACTTATTGCGGGCGGGGGGGGGGGGGGGGTGTCTGGAACGTAACCCCTGCCACAATCGAGGGACTACTGTGTATTCCTGGATCATCCGTTTCCTACACTCACCTCCTGAGTTTAAAGTTACACTCCGGTCCAGTAGGTGGCGATAATACAGCGATCTGTCAAATGTTACCAAGACTCTGATGTGATTCGTGTGCTGAACAGGAACAGTGATTCTCGTCACAAAATATATCCTCAAAACAAGTTCTTCTTCTGCTTGTAGTTGTACTGTTTGTCTCGGAACCCAGCCGGTCGAAGCAGATAGCCGCTTGTCCTGAGCCTGGTTCTGCTAAAAGTTTCTTCCTCATGAGAGAGTTTTTCCTTCCTGCTGTCGCCTTCATGCTTGCTCAAGACGAGAGTTCTGCGATGGAGTTAAATTCAAAGCAGTCTGCTCCTCAGATAAATAATGTTATTTTTATATGAATGTTTCTGTTCAGTGCCCTGAGACGACTTCTGTTGTGACTTGGCGCTATAGAAATAAACTGAATTGAAATGAATCTTTGTGTGTCGTCTTCTCAGTAGGAGTTATATCAACGTCTGTGCTTCGTTGATACAGTGTTAATGAGGTTCTGACACAAAATTCTTGGCTGCATTTGAACCATCACAGATGGGTCCAAATGACGAAACTTGGGTAGCACAGACCATGTAGTCCAGTAGATATTAAAGCCATACATAGATCTTAAATGGTCAAACAAATCCTGCTGATTACTTATCCAGTAATATTTTAACAAGGCTGTTTCTGACTGCCAAACACCATAAACTAATTCAATGGTTTTCTTCTATTAAGTTAAAAATGACACTGATGTTTTCGTCCTTTTTAGACAAACTGGACATAAAGGCAGTTCATGGTTGAGTCAATTATAGAACTGACCGTATTTATAAGAGATTATAGATTCATCAAATGTAAAATAGCTCCATTACATAATGCATTAAAGCCATAATAGCTTCAATTTTTCATTGTTTTATGTAAGTGTTTCATCTATAAACAATACATGATAAAATACATTTTGTTGTGGTGTATCAGAGTCATTACCAACACATGCTAATCGTAAGATTTCGCACGCACCATTTCCAAGCTTTGACAAACAATATGCTGCTTTCTCAACATCAAATGAGCTTAGTGGCACATTGGCATGAAGGGTGGCGGGTAACGCCCGTTCCTTCAAGGAATTATAGGCATTAATCAATTTTGCATTGCTCTGCCTTCATGAAATCAAGTGAATCAAAGCTTGAAGAAAATTAAAGTAGCAGCAAAGATGCGAGAGTACAGAGCGAGTTGTACTCACCCATCCATGGCCTCCTCGATCTTCTTCTTCCTGAGCTCGATCTCTGGCGTCTCCATGCCGGTCGGCACCGTCGAGTAGCCTCCGGGGGTGATAAGACCACTGAAACACGCAGAAGACGACATGTCAGAAAGATCAGATTATTGTGCGTTTGTTCATGCTTGGATCAAGAAAGGAAAAAGATAAACTGGGACTAATGACGAGCTGAACTCAACTGTTTAAACACAAACAGACTATAACCTGGGCCCTACAGTCAAACACTGCACTACAAGATAATTACAAGTTAAACACCTCATCAAGTAAAATTATTTACCCAGTTAAATCAGCATGTTCCAGGTCAGTGGATTTTATAATAACTTTGTTCATTAAGCCAAATCTATGTGTGTGTGTGTGTGTTTGCACTAACGACAACAACAGAAACCTGGCTTCTTATTTCACAGCTGCTTCACAAGAAGATTAACATATTTTTGATTTCCATCTTCATGCAAGTCCTGATGATAATTCATATTAACCTGTCTGCTGGTGTGAAGAATCCAGTTTCATCTGGCTTCTCTTCGTCGCTCTCCTCCTCCTCCTCTTCCTCTGAGGATTCTTCATCTGAAGGCTCCAGCTCACCCCACGGAGTGTGGTCCACCTCCTCCTCCTCTGCTTTGGACTGGACGCAGAAAGCCACACTTACACGTCAGCCAATTAGAAACCGCGAAGAGAACGACAAATTAAAAGGGAAAGAAAGAAAGAAATGTAAGAAACAGATGACAAGGAGGTGAAGAAGTTCTGACCTGGAAGTCGGTTGCATTTGTTCCAAACACGTCACCGTAAAGCGGTTTGCCCATCTCATCGACAGGCGGCTTCCCCCAGCCTCCGGCGTGGTAACCAAACGTACAGTTCTGTTGAACAGAACCACAGCAGGACGGAAGAATCACCACACAGGCACCGTCACTTCATCATGTAGTGTTTGATGGGAATATTCAGGTTTATGAGTCGATTTTAATCTGCAGCCTGTTGTTACCTCTGGGATGGGGGAGTTCAGTCCAGGGATCTTGAGGTTGGGATAGGAGGGAGGGGGGCCGTACCTCTGCATGGCTATCAACCAGGGAGGGGGCACCTTGTGGGCGTTCTAAAACAGACAGCAAGTAAACGTGACTGTTTGCTCCACAAACAACAAAATGACTAATGTATGCAGAGCTGATTCTCTGAACGTCGCACGTCTAAATCTGCTCTACGTGTATTTACAGCGGCCATCACTGAAGCGTGTTCCTGTTCGCACGTTGATGGAAACCAGGGGTGTCCAAACATTTTCTAACAGATCAAAACTGTCAAAATGAAAGAACTTGTGAGCGAAAAAAAAAAAACCTGCACATTTTGGTGATTTTCTTTAAATTCCCTAATCTCTCAATAACAAGGTAAACTAGGGGTGCACCCATAAATCAGCCGGACGATTTATCGGCCCCATTTCCTTAATTTTGGGAAATCGGCCGATACTTGCATGAGAAACCGGTTTTACAGATTTTTTTTTATTTAAGTTTTAACAACAACTGTCTAAACTTCATTTATATTTCAGAGCACTACCTCATGGCCAGTTAAAACAAGTTTGTATTTCTAGGATATTGTTCAAGGGTATGTTTTTCAATAAAATAATATGGAAAATTGAAGGTGCATTTTGACCTTATAACACCTGACCGTGTCGCTTAGAAAAGAAAATCAGAGTTGACAGGTCAGGCTTTTTAGAAATTGGTGATCGGCCAGAAAACTGCAATCATTGCACCTCTAACGTAAACTACACTTTAGAAAGAGAAAGGTTTACTAATTTTACATGCACGCACATACACACACTTTTTTCTTATTACTTAATTTGTTTGGTGCATTTCTTTTTGTTCTCTTGTGCCTACAAAGTTCATTTGGGTCCAACTTCAGAAACTAAAGTCTAACATACAGAGATAAAACAAATAAAACATAAATTTTAGAGCATGGATGACAGAAAAATGTGATCAAAGTACTGAGAATCGTACAGCTGCCAGTCTCTACAACAGATTCACACTAATAAAATCGATAAACATGTACTTTAACACTTTATATTCCTTTAAAAATCTACAAATGTCTATCAACTATTTAATCAACTCCATATTGTTTCTTTAAAAACACTTGATTTTAGCAACATTTTATGACTGATTATCTAGAAGTGTAGTTTTGGTAGAAGTCAGTAAAGGTTTGTGGTGCTTTGAACCACGAAATGGGAGGAAAAAACAATTAATTATAGTCTATGTTTTCAATTGTACGTAATATATATTACCATAATAAGATTTTTTTCATCCGTTTTGCTGTTAAACCTAAAAATTAAATCGAGAAAAAAGTATCCACTTTAAATTTGCAGAAAGTCTTCATCTGCATCAACCTAAGCCGGTTGGACAAAGTGATACCATCTTTAATTTGTTGTTGTGAGCTGCACAACAACACTCCAAGGGACACAAGTTTGGACACCCCTGGTGTCAACAAATCCCAACACGTCTCCGCTACAGTTTCACAAATTAAATATATATTTGTTGTTTTGAATAAAAATCTAATTACACCAACTTGATAAGTGTTTTAGTTTAAAATGAGCAGCCCTGGATTTTTTTGTGTAAATTGCTCTTTATTTTAAAGCTAAGCCAACTTGGTGCTTATGAATTTGTGTTTTGGAGCTTACTGGTCCCACTGGCATCCCCAGAGCGATTCGCAGCTCATCAGAGAGATCTCCTGGCTTCTTCTCTTTCAGACGGGTTTCAAACTCTTTACCCTTCAATATAAACACAAACGCAGGTTATTAAACTGCGCCGCCCACGGAGAAAACGGTTAGTTTGAATCATCGCCTGCTTCTTCAGAGAAACGTGGCTGTTGTACCTCGTAGTAAAGGTCTCCGTGGATGGTGAGTTTAGGTTTGATCTGCCATTTGAAGAAAGCGTCGTGGAGCTTCTGGTAGTCGATGTCGATCTTCCCCATCTTGGGGCGAACCTTCTCTCTCATTTTGGTTTTCATTGTTTTGGCGTCTTCCTGCATGCAGACAGAAACAACAGTTCACGAACTGCGCTGGGACTTCTCGCCATGATCGAAAGCGACTCCCACCTTCTCCTGCAGCGCCTCCCTCATCTCCTGGATTCCCGTCCTCCTGATGAACTCTGGCAGCTCAAATGGAGGTTTCTCGATACCTCTCTTGCCCTGCAGGTACTTCCGTTTGAAGCACCAGTGGCGCGGTACCGGCACGGTGTTTCTGGTGGCCTTTAGGTGGACCAGCAGCTTGGGCTCCTGAGCCGTCACATCGTGCATCTCCACTACATCTGGACGAGCCACGAGCTGGAGGAGAGTCAGGAAAAGAAGAAAGGTGGAACATTTGTGACCAGAGATACACTGGTGGCCATTTTTTCCCATAATCTGTGAACTCAACATATTTTATGTGAAAAGCTTTTAACAGCTGACTGGACACCAGAATAGACATCTTGACTGGTGCCTAACCAAACAAAATGCTAATACATGCTAACTTCTTTGCAATAAAACAGACGTCTTTACCAAAATATCTGTTATTTTACGTTTTACTGAGACAATATTGCTCCTTTAAATGGCTACAAATGGGGTGCAAAATAAAAAAGGATCCACTAAGAAATGCTAGATAGAAGAGGAAAAAATAAACTACTTGAAAAAAATTTAAGTTCAGACTTTGAGGGAAACCTTATGACTTTTTAAAGATTTACAGCACCTATAAAAAGTTTTTACCTGCTTGTCTGTTTTACCCTTTTATTGCTAATATTAATCAGTTATGGTCAATAGCATGAGTCCATGAAAAACGAACCGTGACGTAGCGAGGGGCCACTGTATGCAGTTTAGACCCTGAATTAACAAAAATTATAAAAGCTTGCCTCTAAATATGATTCTTAAAGAGAAATAGGGTCAGACCTGTAAAAAAAAAGTTTGAAAATGTAATTAGCCAATAAAAGTGATTGAGCCTCTCCATGAAAACTTCTTTAAATGAATAAACTCAAGCATAAACTCAAGCACTTAAACATAAACAATATTTATTAAAGGACAAATGAATCTTGGTTTACCTGCTTGAGTTCAGCCACAGTGAGCCTGTTCATCCTCCTCAGCTTCTTCTTGGACAGTTTAGGTACATCTTGTTTGATTTCCTGTGAGTGAAAAAAAACGCTTTAGATGTTCAACAAACCAGATTTAATTATGCTTAATTAAAAAAAAATAAATAAATAAATAAATAAACTATTTGTACGTCATCGCTGTCATCGCTGTCTTTTCGCTCCAATTCAAATCCTTTTTTCCGCAGAACTCCCAGCATCTCCTGTTTCTCAGCCTTCTCTGGCTCCTTGTCCTTCTCTTTCTTCACATCATCAGTCAGCTAGAGAAGAGGAAGAGTGATGTCAATGAAAGTGAAACGTTAAAATACACCAATATATATATAAAAAAACTCTAGTCACCTTAAAAGCCTCAAAAATCCTCTTGAAAAAGATGAAGTTGGGGTCGTAAATCTCTGGTTCTTCTGTGACGTATTCGATCTCCACATCAGGCTCCTTCCCTTTGTCTTTATCTTTATCTTTGTCTTTATCTTTGTCTTTATCTTTGTCCTTCTCCTTGTCACTGGCATCCTTCTTCTTCTTCGGCTGCTGTTGTTGTTGCTGCTGCTGCTGCTCAGCCTGCTCCTTCTTCTCCTGCGCTCGCTTCTTCTTGCTTTTCTTCTTGCGGTTCCTGCGTCGGCGGTTTTTCTGAAGGACAGAATTGGTCCATAAAATCAAAAAGGGACTTTTAACAAGTGAAAAACTCGGGCACATTCACAGCTAAGGCAATAAAATTTGATTTAAACAGACAGGATCACAAAGGTTGTGTCTAGTTGTGCCTTGTGATGTTAGTACTTACATCTTTCTTCGATAACTGCCCGTCGTCCTCATTCTCAGACATGAGCAGTCCAGAGGCATTGTTCTCATCCATCTCTGCTCCCTCGTCATCATCATATTCTGAAAGAAACGTCAAAGGTAATAACGGAAGTTCAATATTTAAATAATTCCAATAAGTAATGAAATCCTAATTAAATTATTACTGAACTTTATATTTCCTTACATCACAGTACAGAAACATTCCGCAAGGGCGTGTGTTCGGATCTGACTTTTTGAGGTCAGCCATGGACTGATTCGAACAGGATCATTGGATGTAAAACTACAACCGACTATCCAACAAAGTTCAGTCAGGTCATCTGGACGGTTAATTTTTTGTTGTTGTTATTTTTGTTGAAACATTTCGTCCTTCATCCAAAGGACTTCATCAGTCCAAGGGGCCACAACAAACTCAATCCTACAAGCGGCACACTCACATAGTGGGCCAACCAGTTTGCTGAGGATAAGATGGTCTCTGGCCCATCAACTCCTCTGAGGCAGCCATAGCCTCAGAAGGCTTATCACCATCAAACTGGTTGGTCCACTATGTGAGTGTGCTGCTTGTGGGACTGAGTTTGTTGTGGCTCCTCGGACTGATGAAGTCCTTTGGATAAAACACAAAACGTCTCAACAAAAAAACAAATGAGCCAGATGACCTGACTGAACTTTGTTGGATTTTTTTTTACCTGGATTATTGAGCATGAACTTTACTAGAAATGATTATCTTTTGGAGTTGACCCCATTCAAGATGGCCACTCTTGCACGGTTGCCAAACAAACATGGCTAAAACTCATATTTGACACGTCACATACGACTCATATTTGACGTTTGACACATATCGAGCTAAAATTTGATGTGGTAGTAGCCAAGTGTCATCGATGACACACATTGTGAGCGCTAACAGATCGTGTGAGACGTATTGCGCAACGTTGCATGTACCATTATTTTCAAGGTTTGATTAAAGCGTCTCTTTTCACAATGTACGATAATTTTAGTTTAAAACTCTGGCATGAACGGCAGCGAGTGGTATTTTTTCCAGGTACGTTGGGCTTTAAATTGACTAATGTAACTAGTTATAATACCACCGTTTGTGAATTAATTTATTCTTTTGGTCAACCTTTAACTCCCTGTAACAGATTCAGTAATTAAGTAAAAGTACACATTTAGTCCTCATTTCCAAAGATATTGGAGTTTTGTGTCTCTCCGTAACTTGTTTCTGGACAAAGTGTTCAGAAATATAATTTAACAAAAAGTAATCACCTCAAGCAATACTTTGACCTCTCTGCTTCCCAAACACACCAAATACTGGTGAGGATTCTCAAGTCTTCACGGTATTATGTTTGAACCAAATATTTTTCTGGTACGGGGGCAGCACGGCCAGAGAGAGAAAAGCTTTGCAGAGAGTGGTGAAGGCTGCACAGAAGTCTGTTGGAGTCAGTCTCCCCACCATCACAGACATCTACACCTCCAGATGCAGGAAGAGGACCACCTGCATCGTGAAGGACCCCACTCATCCAGCACACACACTTTTTGTCCCGCTCCTCTCAGGAAGGAGGTTGAGGAGGATTAAGTGTAGAACCACTAGACTGAGGAACAGCTTCTACCCTGAGGCTGTTAGACTCACGAACATCTAATTTTAAAAAAATCATTGTAATGCCACTGTAATTAGAGATTTGACACTTTATCCATGCTGCTGATTTCTTGCCTTTAAGCTGCTGTATTCATACCCATCTGCTCACAACAGACTCGTGTTCAGGCTGCTGTTTAATATAACACATTGCATTATATTATTATTGTTTAGCGTATATCTTAGATCTTTTTATACGGTTTCCTTTAGACTTTATATTTTTGCTATTTTTAGGTGCAACTGGGACCTTGAGTGCACAATTTCGTTCCACCTCATGTACCACATGTGATGCGAATGACAACATTGAATCTGTAAATAAGAAGCGAAACCTCTACAAGAAACTAAACAAAAGTTCAGCTGCTTTTGACTCAACTGATTAAATATTGAACAGTTTCTCCAAACAAAAAAAAACTAATCTTTCCTTGTCCATACAGTCGTATGAGAATTCATTTTCTTGTTTAAAAGCTTAACTTGTGTGTTAAATCTGTTATCAGAGTTTTATTATAAAATGAAAATATTAGAAAAATCAAAATTTATAAGCAGCCATCAATAATACAGGTGAAAAGTCTACAGAAAAATATAGCAGCACTTTTTAAAACTGCTGTTTCTTTAACCCTTGCTCCTGTTTCAGCTGGTGTCTGTTCTGACCTGCAGCGTCTGTGAGCTGCTCCTGTCGGATCTCCTTCAGCTGCAGGATCTTCTCCAGGGCCTGGGGGATCTTGGGACCGCTGATGCCCATTTCCTCATTCTGCCAGAGCTGGAAAAGACAGAGCAAAGATAAAAATAAGGCTTTAATAAAGAGAAGAAAGAACTATCAATGTATCGGCTTTAAATTATTAAAGGTTATCAGTACACTCAAGGTGAAACGCTTTGAGATTTCCAGCTTTTTGAACAAAAACGACAACATTTGACCATCTTGTTGGAGCAAAACAAAAAGGCTGTTTAATCCAGCTGTGTGGACAAAAAGTTTAAAAATAATCCACGTGGAGTAAACACGTGTTTACCTCCTTGTTGTCCTCTCCTGGTGGAGGCGGCGCCCTCAGTTTGTGGGGCGGCAACAAAGTGATGCCGGGAGGAAGCGGCCCGCGAGGATCCAAGGCTGAGACTAGAAGGAATGTGGCAAAATGAGAATTTAAGACGTGACGTTAGCTTTGAAAGTTTAATTGAGGCGATGAAGCTCAAACAGTGTCCAGCTGTAAAGGCTCCACTATTATTTTACAAAGCAACTTACGAGAATAGATTTTAATTAAAACTTAACAAAACGAGACAAACCTCTTATTTCGGTGACAGTGGGCATAGATCTGGCAGAGATCTTGGCCATCTCCTGCTGCCGCTCCTGCTCCATCAGCACCGCAGCCTGATGAGGGGAAAGAAACTCATGAATCAAGGCTTGTGTTATTTACATTTACAGCAGCAGCTAGCTGTAGCACTTCTAATGCAGCCTGGAGGCACGTCCAACAGGAAAACTGTAATTCATTGTTAATCTGGTCAGAATAAACTCTGTTCCTCCAGACACAGGCTGTTCAAAGAGCCAAATATAAATTGTTTGTAATGTTTCCACAGATCCCAACTTCTAAATAACCTAAACGATAAAAATACATTCTATTAAATTTAAAATTGAATGTTTTACCCTTTTCTGTTGCTCCAGAAGATCTTTTTCATCTCCCTATCAAAGAAAGAATGATCAAACATCAACAAATCAAAAAGTTTGTCCCGTCTGCTCGTACAGGTAAAGTCAAGTCGATGCAGGAAGTGCTGAAAAGAATGAAGGTGACATTCACAACATCCATCGTTTCCACACTTATTCCTTTCTGGGTCACTGGTGCCCATGTCCAGCAGTCACTGTGTGAGAGGCGGGGGACACCCTGGACAGGTCTCCAGTCCATCACAGGGACAAACAACCATTCACTCTCTCACTCACACCTAGAGACAATTTAGAGTTACCAATCAGCCTAACATGCATGTTTTTGATCTGTGGGAGGAAACCCCACACATGCACAGAGAGAACATGCTCCACCCAGAAAGGCCGGGACTTGAACCGGCGACCTTCTCGATGAGAGGTGACAGCTCTATCGTGCCGCCCACATTCACAACAGTTTTATTGTTTTTACACAGAGACCTGGTAGCGACACATCAAGGAGTTTCTTTACTGTGCTTTTCCAGCTGGGGTGCCTTTTTTTTGACAATTAAAAAATATATATATAAGAAATGGAACAAAAATATAAATGGCTTTCATACGGCCCTACATTAGTCTAATTATTCATTAATTTCTTTTGACTGCCATATAGATTTTACTTCCCCAAAACAAAATTTTAATTGGTATTCTCTAGCTTTTAAGCACGTTTTTAAATGTTGTATTTATTTCTGGGTCCTTCCATCTCTCAGATTCTTTCTGTACAGCTGAGTGCAACAAGTGAACGGTCTGTGAGGTTCTCCTGCTGTGTGACCCATACCTCCTGCTGCAGCACCATGGCTGCTCTCTGCTGAGCCATCTTCAGATGATCTTCGACCTGCGACAGGCCGGGAGGGGGCAGAGGCGCGCGCTCCATGCCCAAGGATAAACCAGGTGGAGGGGGGGCTCCAGGGGGCATCATGCCCATAGGCTGGAGCATACTGATGCCAGGGGGCATGGGTGGCATGGGCATTCGAGGTATAGGGGGCATACCTGGAATCTGAAGGGAAGGAAGAATGTGAGGAAAGAATACAAAGAACGAGGGTTTGCACAGAACTCATCCCGGCTCTCAAGTTTACAAAGGCAATGCTGCCCAGACGGGTTTCACAGACAGTACATATTCATTATGATGATGATATTTGCTCCTTTTTTAAAATCGATTTTGTATTTATTATAACTTTCATTATTGAGAATATATCTAAACACACATAGCAATAGTTCTCATAAATCTGTAGCGTTATCTACTGGTTTCTCTGTTCATCCTGTTCTGCCTCTTGGTGTTGATGTACTTCCAGTAGTAAGAAAAAGTCTGAGGCCCAATTTAAACCTGGCAAACTACAAAATATTCATGCGTCAGAACTACATTATTATGACATTTGCACGGTTCAGAGCCAACTGACTTTTGTTATGGAGTCATTTCCTAATTACCTAAAAGATGTGGCGTAAAATAAATAAAGAAGACTATGATAGTGACTTCATAGAGAAAACCGATAACATTTTATCCCATAAAACTCCACTGAGCACGGACAGTCATCAGATGTTTTCTGCACACCTTCAATGTTAAATCAGTGCTGTGTTTAATTAGGTAAATATAAAGCAACATAATGTTCAGACTGTTGCCCTGTGTTTGATATTACAGCTTACGATTACCACAATGAGTCCAATCAGCTCCAGAAACATTTGAAACAAATAACGAACTAAAGAGAAACCCATCACGTAGCTTCCTAGCGATCCATTGTGATAAATAATTCTACCTAAAATAATCCTGTATACTCAGAAGGACTCTGATTAACAGCTAACTAATACATTTCACTGGAAAAATACCTAATTAAATCCAACCAACAAAAATCTGTAACCTAAAAGATGTTTCAATGGATGGCTGTTTATCTTTAGTTAGCCACCTCCTTTAAGCTGTACACTGAATCAGACTTTGGACCTGAGGAACCACAGACTTGTATGTTTAAAACAGTGTCACTATATCATGAATAATTTACCTGAGAGCTCATTGATTTGTCCTCAATTGATTTGGTGAGGATAATTCCAGTCTGCAGAGCAAATAAAAATATGACAAGTTGCAGTTTAGTACTTCAACACACCGACAGGTAAACGGACCTAAAACTAAAATTTCTTGGCAAAAATCAAGCACTAAAAATAATGCAAATAAAAAATAAAATAAAACATTAGTAAAACAGTCGACACAAATTGTGATTACCTGCATCATGTAGCCCTTCAGTCTGTCTATGAGCTCATCTCTGGGACCTGGGTTAAAGAAAAAACAAAAAAACTAGAACAAGCGGCGTAACAACAGGGAAAGAGCCCAGAAGTGATATGAAACACAATCAAAGTAAAAATGATTTGAAACGAAAAAGGCCAATAGAAAAGAGCACAATGTGGACAACAGAAACTAAAGTTAGCGACAGTAGCTAACTGAGCTAGATTGTTTTATTAAAATGACCCAACCAATAAAATACTACAGCTGGAGTTTAATAAGAACTCAATAATTATGAAAGGAAACAAATAAAGTGCTTATGCAAATGTAAACACACTTCAGGCATTTAAAGCAGCTTCAACGAATCTTGCGTTTAACAGGGCTAGCTTTGCTATGCTAAAGTTAGCACAGGGATAGTTATTGTTAACTTACTCCATTACTCTCAAAGCTCACTCGGCTTCTTTCTTACCCATGTTTGGTGCTCCCATCTCCGCCAGCTTGGCCTGAAGCTCTGGGTTGCTCCATGAGTTTAAAGCCGCGATAGCACTCCCTAAATTGGAAGGGCCAGGTTCAGCGCCCGGTGCACCGTTGGACGCCATGTTGAATTTTTCTCAATGGAAGTCGGCGGCAGCAGCGGAAACAACGCGAGAACTGGATTAATGCAATGCATTGTGGGGGGAAAACGGAACCTGTCGATTCACAATTTAGCCACTAGATGTCAGTACTGAGAAATGTTTTTTTGTTTTGTTTTGTTTTGTACAGTAAGGTTTAAAGTCGGACACTGGTCCAGTCCAGCTATGTCCTATTCGAGTAGTTTTTAGGAAACTATTTGTTAGGAAGCATTATTTTCTCCGTGTTTCTTGAATGTGTAGGGATTGGTCACCTCTTAGCAAAAAAAAGTTGCTGGTTAAATCACGGCTACTGCCTTTTTGGTGTACGTGGTGTTACTTTCTGTTCGTGCATGGATGATTTTGTTGGTTCAAAAGCTGTTTGAAATAAGCATGATGGATTATTTTGGGATCCTAAATCTGAATACATTTAACACATTTATGCATTATTTTAACTTTATTTCGTTTGTGCAAACTTTCAGTATCCCCTGTATGGAATAATAAAAGTGCCACAACAAAGAATTAAAAACAAACAAACAACAAAAAACAGCAACACAATTTTCACTATGAAAAATAGGAGCAAAATATGTTTGAAAACTAATAAGCCATATTTCCTGTGCAACACTAGGTTGGACAGTAATCTTACAAAAGAATGATTATGCAACATAGCACCATCAAAATGGTTAAAGTGCAACAGGTTGTTTATTTGTTAAAAAAATGTGGGGGGTCGGGATTTACTGAGATGTACATAAAACAGTTAATTTGAGGTTTAATTAATTTGTCACTGTACATTATTTAATCTTTTTTTTTTTTTAAAGGCATATTTGATTTGGTCATTGAGGAGATTTGCACATGTTGAGAATGTGTCAGAATCTTGATTCGTGGAATTAAAAATCTTTCTGCCCTGATATCAACATCAGCAGGTAGCCGATTAAAGATTTATAATTAGCATTTTTCTGCATTATGTGAGGAATATTTATATTTTACTAGGGGAACGTTTACCATATATTCTCCACTTTCCATAAATACAACAATTATTTCCTGTAACTTTATACACTGGAGTAAATTGAGAGGGAAAGAATAAAATTATATGTGGAATGCCTCTTTTCACGTGGACACGCACAGAGACCATAGAAGAGTCAGAGTAAACAAAGTATTGTCAGAACCACTGTGGCAGGACCCAATACTTCGTAGTGGAGATTTATACAAGATTTGTACAAGCTGTATTTGAAAATACATATATTTGAGTACAAGAAGTAAAGAAATCTGTTCTTGCTGATGTACAAGTAGTTACGCGATGGAAATGACATCATTTTATTCTCACATGAGCTCTTGTTCTGTTTGCAAGACCCATCCGAAAAAAATTCTAGCAGAATTACACATCAACTGTGTGGTTGGTCAGAACTCAGAGGGGTTGTGTAATGCATATGTTGAACTACTTTGCTTGCTTCAACTGCTCTGCTGTAGAGCAGATAGCCGAGGCTGTTAGAAAACAATCAGGGAGGAGCTTCCAGGAGTCAATTTGATGCAGTTTCTCGTTGAGTATAAAATGTTTCTCAACTACGTCAGCAAGAGCATTCTTCTTCACTTCCCACAGACTATGAATACAGCTTCAGGTGGTGTTAAACCAGGCTAAGGGACAAAAGTCCTACTTTGTTGAACTTGCTTTATAGTATACTGCTTTGCTATTGCATATTGAAATTCTTAATCCTCTACTACTACTTGTGTCTGAATGAAATTCCCTTTGTAAAAAAAAAAAAAAGAAAAGTTTTACCACCTTTTTATATAATTTAGTGCTGTTTTAGCTCATCTGGTTTGGGGCAAAGTAAAAAGAACGGAATAATTTTAGGAAGTAAAAGCAAAAAAAAAAAAAAGTTTCCTGATGCATGATCCAGGTACAAAAATCTAAAAAAAAAAACGTTAAGTCTGGTCCTCTGGACATTCAAAAAACAAAACAAAACAAACAAAAGAAGTAAAAACGTTTCCCCTTTCATATGAAAGACTGCTTCCGTCTGAGGTGCTGTATTCAGCTCAGTCTTATAAATAGCACCTTTTCGTAGTGGATCAACCAGTTTGCTAGCTGCTCACATGATCAAGGTGATGATCAAAAATAAGTAATCAATATATCCTAATGCATGCTCAATAATCCAGGTAGAAAAATCCAAAACAAGTTCAATCTGGTCCTCTGGACATTCAAAAATATGTATTTACTTATTTATTAAATTTTATTTAAGAGACTGAGTTGAATACAGCACCTCAGACTGAGGAAGTCTTTCGGATGAGAGACGAAACATTTCTACATTTTTTTTTTTGCTTTGTTTTTTTTTTTTTTTTTTCTTTGAACGTCCAGAGTACCAGATTGAACTTTTTTGGATTAATCAATATAATTCAAACAAAGATTGAATTTTTCAAAAAAGTAGTTTAATTTTGTTCATATTTCCCTATTTACTCTAACCTTAATTAACCTTTATTCATATTTACATATATTTGATTACTATTATCAGTTTAATCTGTAGTGATTTTTGGCACTCTTATAGTTCCGTACACCGAGTTGCGGACCAACAGGCAGAGCGCATGCGCAGTGTGGAGGGGGCTCACGGAGGGCAGGGACTGCAGCAGCAGGGCGGTTTCTAAATAAGGGGGACTGAACCGAAGCAGACGAAACATGGAAAGAAACAGAAAGCGTCGAGAGACGAGCGTCATGTCAACAGCTGCACTTTAAGGAAACGCGAAACAAGGTAGGCGAAACACGAAACTTCTTCACTAATGCAGCTTCAAATCTGTAAAAGCCACTTTACTGTACTCCCAACTTTTTTTTTTTTTCGAGAAAACCTGTATTTTAACAAAATAAAAAAAAAAAACTACATGAGTCTTAACCTCTGAGTTTTTCCCAACACGGTGGTAAAATGTAAACCATTCAGTGTTTTAGTTCCTGTGTGCTTCATTTAATGTCATTTACTTCCACAGCTGGTAACTGAATGTTCAAAGAACCTGTTGGTGTAGTTTGAAGTTTGACAGCTGAACCTTGGGTGTCCTCTCAGGGACCACACCTTCCCCCAGGACTGCAGGCTTATCTGAGGGAGACATGCTCTTTAAACAGTAAAACATCTTAAAACTAAACAAGTGCTGTGTAAAGTTGCCGTCATTTAGTTGCCAGGTTGTGTTCTTGTGCTTCATGTCTGTAGATCAAACCATGCTCAGCTGTGTTTGGGACATGAAGCCTGCATGCAATGCTTGGGACATGAAGCCTGCATGCAATGCTCCAGGGAGGGCTGAGAACAGTCTGGCTCGTGCACGAGTTCTCACGCTCACAGAGGAGGCCTCACACAGGCTTCAGCAGAAAAGTGATGACACAAACGAAATTACTGATTTGGCCTGAAAAGCTCATAATCGACCCAGTGGTTTGAGCTACGTCGCCTCTCTGCCTTCAGGAAATGCACTGTTAGTTGCATGATCACCATGTCTCGCGCTATACTTCTCCGTCACACACGGTTTGCGTACATTTTTCTGAATGTTTCTTGAAATCGATGCTGCGGGGCAGAGACGGCTTGCGCCTCGACTCACAGGCGCTCGTCATACAATTAGAATATCATGAAAAAGTTTTTTTTTTTTCCCAGTAATTCCATTCAAAAAGTGAAACTTGTGTATTATATTCATTCTTTACACGCAGACTAATATATTAATGTTTATTTTAATGTTGATGCTTATAACTGACAACTAATGAAAACCCCAAATTCAGTATCTCAGAAAATTAGAATATTGTGAAAAGGTTCAGTATTGAAGACACTTGGTGCTACAATTTAATCAGCTAATTAACTCCAAACACATGCAAAGGCCTTTAAATGGTCTCTCAGTATAGTTCTGGTAGGCTACACAATCATGGGGAAGACTGCTGACTTGAAAGTTGTCCAAAAGACGACCATTGACACCTTGCACAAGGAGGGTAAGACTCAAAAAGTCATTGCTAAAGAGGCTGGCTGTTCACAGAGCTCTGTGTCCAAGCACATTAATAGAGAGGGGATGAGAAGGAAAAGATGTGGTAGAGAAAAGTGTACAAACAATAGGGATAACTACACCCTGGAGAGGATTGTGAAACAAAACCCATTCCAAAATGTGGGGGAGATTCACAAAGAGTGGACTGCAGCTGGAGTCAGTGTTTCAAGAACCACCACGCACAGACGTATGCAAGACACGGGTTTCAGCTGTCGCATTCCTTGTTTCAAG